TTAGCTTTCAAACTAGCCCAGCCTGCTCAACCAGAGAGTGTGTGTGTGTGTGTTCAGTGTGTGTGTGTGTGTGTGTGTGTGTGTGTGTGTGTGTGTGTGTTCTGTGTGTGTGTTCTGTGTGTGTGTGTGTGTGTGTGTGTGTGTGTGTGTGTGTGTGTGTGTGTGTGTGTGTGTGTGGATGCCTGTGTTCTGATGTCAGCGTTTCTGCCCAGGGTCTATGGTATGCAGGCTGCTTGTTCACCTAGACACACACACACACTCACACACACACACACACACACACACACTCACAATGGGAGAACAATCCAGTATCTCTGTCCACCATCTTGTCTGTTTGCTGAGTTCCTGATGTGAGGCCGTGTTGACAAAGCACACACCCTGTGTGTGTGTGTGTGTGTGTGTGTGTGTGTGTGTGTGTGGTGTGTGTGTGTGTGTGTGTGTGTGGTGTGTGTGTGTGTGTGTGTGTGTGTGTGTGTGTGTGTGTGTGTGTGTGTGTGTGTGTTACAGTAATGAGCTGATACCTGGTTGACCTTTCTCACATGAGTTGACACTGAAACTCGTCACTGTTCAGAATGAATACAGAATAACACGATGGATAAAAGACAATTAAATAAAAACATAAAACTTCAAATAAAAAGTAAATAATCTAAGAACAAATAAATAACAGTATAAATAATAAATTAAAGCTGAGATAAATTAATGAATAATGAAATAAATAATACCATAATAACACACAGTACAGATGATAAATTCAACAGTGAAAACACAACGTAAACAAATAATGAAAGATAATCAAATAAATTCAAAGGTGATGAATTAAAGTAAGACTAAAGTAAAAATATAAATACAAATAGTAATATAAAAATGCAATCAGCTTTTGGACGACAGTCTATATGGATTCAGGAAAGACAGATCAGCATGTACGGCACTAATGGGATTAAGTGAGGAAATAGCAAACTGCATGGACAATAAAAAACAAGCAGTGTGAATATTGATAGACCTACAGAAAGCATGTGACACCATAGATCACAACATGTTACTGACAACACTGGAAAGCTATGGCATCAGAGGGTTACACTGGGTCAGAGATGATTGAAGCAACAGACAACAATTTGTTAAATAGGTGAACATAAATCAGAAGACATGAACATAACTTGTGGAGTACCTCAGGGGTCTGTGTTGGGTCCACAGCTGTTCATCATATACATCAACGACATTTGCAGAGTATCAAATATATTGAAATGTATTTTATTTGCAGATGATACTAATATTCTTTGTTCCGGTGACAATTTGAAAGAGCTAATGGAAGTGATAACAGCAGACATGATTAAAGTAAAACATTGGTTTGACACAAACAAATTATCATTAAATATAAGCAAAACAAAGATTATGTTGGAGTGGCGCAGCGGGCTGTGCGTTTGATCATCAGATCAAGGGGGCGTTGGGGAACTCCAGTTCGAAACCCGCTCCCGCCGCCACTGCGTCAGGCCGTTGTGTCCTTGGGCAAGACACTTCACCCAAATGTGCTCCTGTGGGTATTGTCCACAGTACATGTATGATACTAATGTGTACTTGTAAAGCGCCTTGATGACTCTGAGGTGTGAAGATGGGCGGTGTGGCGCAGTGGGCTGTGCATTGATCATCAGATCAAGGGGGCGAAACCCGCCGCCGCTGCGTCTGTAAAGCCGTTGTGTCCTTGGGCAAGACACTTCACCTGAATTTGCTCCTGTGGGTATTGTCCACAGTACATGACCGTTACATGTATGTGTAATGTGTATCTGTAAAGCGCTTTGGGTCATGGAAAAAGCGCTATAATAAATATAAGGAATTATTATTATTATTATGTTATTTGGAAAACATAAAACAAATCCACAGGTGCAATTAATACTAGATAACATAAACATAGAAAGAGTATATGAAATGAAGTTCCTTGGTGTTAGAGCACAACATCAGCTGGAAACCTCATGTCACTCATGTAAAAGCTAAACTGGCTAAGACTATCGCAATATTGGGAAAAGCCAGACACACTGTGGACTACAACTCATTGTATTCTCTATATAACACACTCATATTGCCATGTCTGATTTACTGTGTGGAGATTTGGGGAAACACGTACAAAACCAACCTACAGCCGTTATGCACATTACAAAAAAGGGCTATAAGAGTTATCAATAATGTTGGATATCTTGAACACACTCATGTATTATTTCTGAAGTCACACATATTGAAGTTCACTGATCTGGTTACATTTAAAACGGCACAGATCATGTACAGAGCAAGACATAATCTACTTCCTAGGAAATTAAAAACAGTGTTCGTAGACAGAGAGGTATCATTTGAGAGGAAATCTACATTTGAAACAACTCAAGGTCAGAACAACTGTGAGAAGTACGAGTATAACAATCTGTGGGGTGATTTTATGGAACGGTTTGGAGCAGGAGTTCAAACAAAGCACAAATATAATTCACTTTAAAAGGATGTACAGAAACACTTTTTTGGA